ACCCCGGCAGCACAGGGCGCCCAGCGCGCCTCGGAGCGCACGTTCAAGCGAGCGCTTTCTCCTGCTCGCTGGCTGGACATTATGCGGCCGAGCAGCCGAGCCCCAGTCCTCCTCCTCCTCCGGCTCCTCCTGCGGCCCGAGCGGCTCAGCTCTCGGGAGGGGGCGGCGGGGAGGGGGGGATGACCATGCAGTTTGTATCCTGGGCCACTCTGCTAACGCTCCTGGTGCGGGACCTGGCCGAGATGCGGAGCCCAGATGCCGCGGCGCGCAAGGACAGGCTGCACCCGAGGCAAGGTAACTAGGCTCTCGCCCCCGGGACCCCGACGCCCCATCGCCGCCTCCCCGCCTCCATCCCCGGCGAGGACACCCCGCAGCGGAGGCCTCTTTTTTTTTTTTTCTTTCCTAGAAAGAATTATCTCCCGCTTTGCAGCCTCTTCCTTGGGTTATCCCCAGTCAACTGCTAGGGGAAGACACCGCGGAACAATCTGGGCAAACACCACCACACACACGCACACACACACCCTCTTGCTTTTAGCCGGATCTTTCCCCTTTTCCTCTCCATGCCCCAAACCAAAGTTACTTAGTAACTCGAGGCACCAGGCAGCGGCATGGGTGATTTTACTCAAGGTTTCTATCAGGATCCAAAATTGCCTTGTGCGTTTCGAATTGCTCATTGTCTGGCTCCGAATGATGGAGCCTCAGCGCCCAGCACAGGTCTTGGCGGTTACTGACACACAGTAGGTGCTCTGCAAGTATTTATCTGCCGATTAATAGTGAAGAGATTGATTCGAATGGACAGCAAAATAAGCCTGGGGTAGGGTATTTTAGAAAAAACCCACCTCCACAAAACCTCTACTTTAGTTTTAAATTAAAACTTGCGGAAAATGAGTTGTTGGTTCATGTATCTCTGTTCTCTCTGCAGTGAAATTACTAGAGACCCTGAGCGAGTACGAGATCGCGTCTCCTGTCCGGGTGAATGCTCTCGGAGAACCTGTTCCCACGAACGTCCACTTCAAAAGAAGGCGACGGAGCATTAACTCCGCCACTGACCCCTGGCCTGCCTTCGCCGCCTCCTCTTCCTCCTCTACCTCCTCCCAGGCGCATTACCGCCTCTCCGCCTTCGGCCAGCAGTTTCTATTTAATCTCACCGCCCATTTCGAATTTATCGCTCCACTCTTCACTGTCACCCTCCTCGGGGCGCCCGGGATGAACCAAACCAAGTTTTATTCCGAAGAGGAAGCGGACTTGAAGCACTGTTTCTACAAAGGCTATGTCAATACCAAGTCCGAGCACACGGCGGTCATCAGCCTCTGCTCAGGAATGGTAAGTGGGCGCGCCCCCTCCCCTCGCGCCTCCGCCACCGTCTTAAAGACTTAATTGCCTCTAGCTGGAGACCCTCACTGAGCCAGCTGCACTCCGGCGTGGAGTATGGGTTAGAAACTCATTTGCGTCCTTCGATTGGGTGGCCAGCTGTGCGTTCACTCGCGAGGAGCGTACGCTTCGGCTCCCCACGGGTCTCTGGATGTTTTGGAGCTTTCTGGGCTCCGGACTCGGATCAGCTGCGCGTTCCCCAACGCAGCGAGGCGGCCTGGAAATCGGTTTCCAAACTCGGAGAAAGTTGCTGGAGTTGCGGTTTCTTGCAGCAGACTTGGCCGCCTCGGAGCGGAGCAGCTGAGCGCCGGGCGGGCCCGACTCGTTATCGGCTGGTCGGGTGTCAGGAACGTACAAGGGCTGAGAATCCCCGGCCCGGGGTACCCCGAATCCTCCAGTGTGTACTGTGGAGGGCGGCGCGTAATCTAGAGTCCCGGCTTTCTCTCCGGGCCTTTTCAACGCGCCAGGAACCCTAAGGCCGAACTGGATTGACAGGGAGCAGGTCCCGTCCCAGGAGCGGAAGGGTGGGGGGAGGTTCTGGGGGCGGGGACAGGGCGGAGCCTGGCCCGGACGTTTTGAATTAGGGTGGAAGCTGGGGGTGGGGGTGCAGCACAGTCCGACTCTGCGCCCTGCTGGCGGGGTGCGGGGAGGAGCGGGAATCGTGGGAGAGATCCTGGAGGGGTTGCTAGGACCAATTTCGGTTCTTCCGAGATTCCCACCACCCATGGGAACTCAGAGAGAGGGGAGGAGGCTGCAGCGTGCGCTTCCCTAGGGAGGGAGGGCTGGCCGGATGGCCACCTCCCAGCGCAGCGAATTACGCATTTAGCTGGGGATACAAGTCGGTGTGCTGACCCCCAGCCTTACGACTACTGCCTCCCCTCTTGCCCTCCAGTAGGAGCTATGAGGCAGCCGTCCTCTTTCTCCACCACATTTGAGGACAAGCTTGCAAGGTCCTGGCACGAGCGAGGGTGGTCCTAGACTTTCCCAAGCAATGTGCGTTTCTGCCACACGCGTGTGACGCAGAAACTTTGTAGGGTCACGCGCCCTCTCCCATTGCAAGGCGCTGTCCACTCAACGGGATCTTAGACTCCGTGCCTGGTGGGTGATGCGTTTACTCTTCCCCTGGGTGCTCGCACTCCCTCATCACCTCTTCTAAGTGGGGGTGCTTGTATACTTACCCTGGGCGTTCCGCTGTCTCCTTTGCGTGGTGCCTTTCGTGAGTCTTAAAGGTCCTGGTCTGAGTGTCACCTCTTTATCCGTCTTGCAATGGATCCGGTGGGAAGCGAGGCAAGCCTGAAGACTGGGAGGGGGAGGTCCAACCTGCAGGGATACAGGGAAGCGAGGAGCCCTTTTAGCCCCCAGCAAAGCGCCTGGTGTCCCCGCCCGGATTGAGTTGTTGAGATTGGGGGTGGGCGGAGACCGTTGTGTGGGCAAGAGGGAGGGGGTGCTGTGGTGAGTCATCTGAGTCATCGCTGCCCCAAGACTTAGGGGCAGAGCGCTGGAGTCCTTCAGGTCTTCCTTCGAAAAGTTATCCCCCTCCCCATGTGGGCTCAAGTCAGGCATCAGAACTCAGCATCAGAGTGCCCTCCGATTCCAAGATAATAACCCCCAATTCCAGGAGGTACAGATAGGGCTGCGTGTATGTCAAGTTTGTAAACAGGCTTTACTCCTCCTCTGTCTCCGCCTCCACACACGCGGATGAGATCCCAGTGGCTCAAGCAGTTGTAAAAATATTTTGCTGAGCAGGACCTTAATTACCATTGGCAGTTTTAGGTGATAATGCACACGTGGTCTCTTTAGGAACTGAATATCAGGACTTAAACGACTGCCTGGACTGTGATAACCCCATTTACATTGCATTTAATTTGCAAAGCCTCTTTTGGGGAAAAGGTCAGGTACATCTTAAAGAAATGCACACTGGCTCTTCATATATTCAGCCATTAATCTAGCTCCAAAAGTCCTGCCCCTTTGTCTTCCTTCTAGAATGTGTCCTTTCTTCCGGGACCATTTCTGTAGTAGCATCATGATATTCCTAGTGCCTCACCCAGGAAATCTTTCTTTAGAGTGGTCCATGCTAGTCTCCCCCCACCCCCAGTCAGTTACCACTTTCTCAGAATTCCAAAATCAGATGTCACTCCCCTCTTCTAAATGTCCTACCCTAATTCTAGCCGCCTTTTCTCTTCCTCTCTTATTAGACCTGAGGTCTAAGAATTATTTCCACTGGGTCTTGTCTTCTGGATCTCCTTACACATCTCTAACAGATTAATGATGTCGAGGTGCAAAATCACATTACTATCTTGTTCACTACTTTACATAGCTCCCTATCAGCCAGTGAACAGCTGTAAAGTCCTCTGGTTCTTAAGACCATTTACAGTACACCCCTACTTACATCTATGTGTGCATTGTTTCTCATCTGTTAGTGTTTCTTGCACAAATCCTGTATCTCAAGCAAGCTATACTTTATGCCCCTTTCTTGAAGTTGCCATCCCACCCCTTTAATCCTATTGTGACCTCATTGCCTTTGTGCCTTTGATTTACTTGGTTTTCTCTCCAGCTTCACATGCTTAGATTATGTATGCCCCACCCCTTTTTCAAAGTTTTTCCCAGGGGGCATGGCTATACCACAGTCCCTTCTCCATTCTCTTCTTGGGATTTTGGGCACACACATGTACCCTCCTGCGTGATTTTAAAACCATCGTTTCCAGGACTTGAACTGAAGTTAGTCATGTGGGAGTCCAGTGCCTTAACCACCATGCCACCTGCTGGCCCCTGTATGCCCTTTTTGTAACGTGTAATTCACATCTCTTCTTCTCTGGGAGACCTCTTCACAATCCTCTGTGCTGATGTAGTGTCTCCCTGTTTACCTTTATTGACAGTTAACTGTGTCTTAGGCTTAGTGTTTTCTCTTGAATTAAAGCTCTCAAATGGTTATGTCGTTGGACTCCCACATGGTCGATCACAGTTTGAATCCCATCTTGTTAGCTAAAACAGACTGGGTGCTTGTGCCTAAGATCCAGAGAGGAGAATGGAGAAGGGGTTGTAGCATGGCTATTTCTCACTTTTTATCTGTCTCTCTGGCGAGTGCACATGCCCTGCAACAAAAATCTCTCAAAAAAAGAAAAAGTTCTTGTTACACATCCTCTCCTCCTGGCTACAGAGTCAGCAGTAATTGATTTCTTTCCCGTATTGGAGCCTTGTATATTGTATGTGCTTAGTACATGTATTTGAGTAAATGGTCACCTTAACCAAGAAAAGATTACCCTTGGGCTTAGCAACCGTTTTGTGAATTGACAGTGAAATGTATGCTGACATCATGTGGATACCATGTGGAGCTTTCACTGTGTGGCTGGCACTATAGTAAGTGCCTTGCATATGCATTATCACCCATATCCTCATGTCAATCCAGTCCTCAGAACAACCCATTTCATTGATGAGGACACTGAGCCTGTGGAAACAGGAGGTCTCACAGCTAGTAAGTAGCAGAACTGAGATTTCAATCCAATCTTTGACCTGAGCTCTTAACGACAGGACAGAAACTGAGTCTATACTACTAAAGAAATCATCAGAGTTTTTTTTTTTTTTTTTCTTAAGGCATTGAGCTTAAGGCATTGAGCTTAAGTCAGGATACTGATTTCTAGACTCAGTGCTGACTGAAGGGGAAGTTTGGCCAAGTCACTTCTGTATCTCAATTTCCCCATTTACCCAAGGTGGTGACAGATCTTTACCAGATGCACTCACAGGTTCTTTGCATGTATTCGTGTCTCAAGTAGGTTTCATATGTTACCGTGTGCTCTGAATGTGCTCAGAGAATGCCAGAGTGGTCTACTGAAAACAGGCAGAGGTGCCTAGGTGACAAATATGTTAAAGGGCTTCTTCTCTGGTAACAGCCTACTCTGTCGTTTCCTTTGACCACATCAGAGCTGTCCTTTCCTCAAACCTGAGGCTCATGAATCACATGTGAAAATACGAAATCTTCATCCTATCTCTAAAAGTTGTAAATCTGTGGATATGAAGTGGTGCCCTAAATCTAATGTTAAAAATACAAACAAAGGTCCTAGGCAAGTTTAATTTTAGCTGGCTTGGAGAACCAGTGTTTTAGGTCAGTGGTTCTCATACTTTATCATGTATAAGAATACTCTGGGATCCCATTAAAATTCCAATTCCTGGCCCCTACCCTCATAGATGTTTGATTCAGTACATCAGATCTGGGGGCAGAGCACAATTATTAAATTTCTAACAAGTTCCTGATGTGGCTGCTGACACTCGGGGAGTCATTTCCCTTGTGTCCATGGAAGGATAGAAGACCTCTGATTTTTTCCAGTGTGGAAAGGAGGACCAGTGGAAGTGAAGAAAAGAACTTGATTTCTCCCTTTAAGCGTCACTCATGGTCATGGCATGGGAGAACTTTTCAATGTTCTTATAATATTTGGTTTCTGTGGTTCAGCTATGAAGCATAATCATTTGCAAAGCTTATGGGTATTTGCGGAGGGGAAGAGAGTTACCTTTATCAAGATGCTTATTTAAAGTGATTAGTAAAAAGCAAATTGTTTCTTAGTGGTTAGAAGCTAAAACCACTAATGGGTCTGAGCCCTTACAAGGTATCAGGCACTTCGCTAAGCACTTTATGTACTTTATCTCATTTAATCTGCAAAATAACCCTCTGTAGTATGTTTATCTCCAGTTGACAGATGAAGAAGCTGAAACTCAGAATGGTTAAAGAACTTGCCTGGGCCAGCAAATGGCATAGTGGTTAAGGCGCTGAATTCCCATGTGGCTGACCATGGTTCAAGTCTCAGATACTCTGAGTGTGTGTGTGTGTCTATGTCCAAAATCCTGAGAAGCGAATGGAGGAGAAGGGATTGCCATGTGGCCACCCTCACCCCCCGCCCCAGGTGGGGGGTGGTGATGTCTTACTCTCCCTCTTCTCTATTCTTCTCTGTCTTTCTCTGGCAGATGCACGCACCCTATGGCAAAAAAACCTTAAAAAAGAAAGAAAGAAAGAAAGAAAGAAAGAAAGAAAGAAAGAAAGAAAGAAAGAAAGAAAGAAAGAAAGAAAGAAACAAACAAACAAACAAACAAACAAACTTATCCATGAGTGGGTAGGTAGTGGTACTAGGACTAGAACCTAGGGCAGTCTGACTCCAAAGCCTGGCATGATATTGCTCCCTATTACAAAAGGAAGGGATGTTGAAAGGATCATGTGCCAGAGTTACAGGTAACAGCACACCTTGGGTGCTTAGTGGCCAACACAATGCTTCCTGAATTGGGATCCTTCAGAGGGCCAGCTTTTTCCTCTGAGCTCGTACTTGTTCCTAAGTTTGCAGGCTCACACACAGGAATAGTTTCTTTCAACTGCTTGTGGGAATAATATGTTTGGAACTTGAGTGCCATGGAAGTATTTTTCACAAACGGATTTGGTTAAAAGGTCACATAAACCAGACTCAAATCAAGAATGAGGTAGTGATATGGAGGAGAGTGAAAATAAACCACTTCTCTGTATATGCTGCTGTATTTTCAGTCTGACAGCCCTCTTGGAGGAAGGGATTGGGTGAAATGCATCTTCTCTACTTAGAAATATTCCTCTTTTTTTTTCTTCCCAATGACTGAGTTGTGTTAAATCAACCTCTCCTCGGAACCAGCAGTTAGCGTAAAGGCTATGTCACTGAACTCCCACATAGTCGACCACGGTTCGCGTCCTGGACCCGGTGGCTTAAAACTCACGCTGGGCGTGTGTGCGTACGTGCCCAAGATCCCGAGAGGAGAATGGAGGAGAAGGGATTGCGGCATGACCATCCCCCCTGAGGGGTGATTTCTCGCTTTCTGTCTTTCTGTCTCTCTCACGCCCTATAGCGAAAACCTCTCAAAAAAAAAAAAAAAATCAACCTCTCCTCTCTTCATTTGCAGCTGGGCACATTTCGGTCTCATGATGGAGATTATTTCATCGAACCACTGCTGTCTGTGGATGGACAAGAGGATGAAGAGGAACAAAACAAACCCCACATTGTTTATAGGCGGAGCAACTCCCAGAGAGAGCCCTCCTTAGGAAGGCATGCATGTGACACCTCAGGTATTTGCTTTTTACTTAAACAGAGACCCCAGCTCTGTGAGTGGGTTAATCATCAGACTACAAATTTTTAGCCAAGCTCCACCATGTACATTGTTACTGATTCAGTGTAACAATTGAAGGTATACCCCCACTCTAAGGTAGGTATACCTCATCCTGTAAGGTAGGTATACCCCCACTGTACAGATGGGAAAGCTGAAGCGAGGTTTAGTAACTTGTCCAAGGTTACACAGCTCAGAAGTTACAAAGTCAAAGAGCAGTGGTGACTCCAAGTCCCACATGGGCAGAGCTCTTCAGTACAAATTGCTAATTTTTTAGGGTTAAGCTTGATTAATCATTTATTAAGATTGTTTTAACACTACCCACAATCAGCAATTGCTTGTATTTTCCTGATGTCTTCTAATAATTTGTTTTTTAATTTTGTTTGTGTGTTTTTATTTTTGTTTGGTTGGTTAGATGATTTTTTCTTAAGAATTATTTTATTTATGGGAACCAGCAGTTAGCGTAATGGCTATGTTGCTGGACTCCCATGTAGTCGACCACGGTTCGCGTCTCGGACCCGGTGGCTTAGAACTCACGCCGGGCGCATGTGCGTGCGTGCCCAAGATCCTGAGAGGAGAATGGAGGAGAAGGGATTGTGGCGTGACCATCCCCCCTGGGGGGTGATTTCTCGCTTTCTGTCTCTATGTCTCTCTCTCTGTCTGTCTGGCGAGCACACGTGCCCTATAGCAAAAAAACCTCTCCAAAAAAAAAAAAAATTATTTTATTTAACTCTATTTTTTAATTTGACCAGAGAGGGGGCAGAATGAGAGAGAGAGAGAGAGGAAAAGTAAGAAAGCAAGCCGCTTGGTCCAGGACTCAAACTGTTGTTGGCCATGTGGGAGTCCAGCGTCCTTAACCATCATGCCACCTGCTGGCTCTGGTGAATTTTTTTTTTAACACCATTTAGGGTTACAAAAAAATGGAGCTCACAAAATATTCTATGTATTTACTGAAGTGTTTTCTATTGACTTAAGTTTTACTACTGTCCTGTGGCTTCGGGGTATACAAAAATAGATCTGTGCTTGCATTATCAGGTTTTAGTCAAATCCTTCCCACTGCTAGATTTCCTTTCATCCTAGCCTGATTCTTTGAGTCTTTATGCTGACACATGCATCGATTTTTAGGGCTGCGTTATTCTGGCATCTTACAAAGTTTTGCTTGTTTGTGTTTCTCGATCTGCTATCTTGTTGTGACCCTTCACTGTCACCCAAGCCTGGTTACCTTCTACTTGATAATAGCTTTATCATTCCTCAATTTGGTCCTGTGTTTTGGATACTAGTTAAAATACTTTTTAAAGCTTCTTGGACTTCCTGTTTCTAAAACTCTTTTTTCCTACTCTCTTTCTCTCTCTCTTTAAATTGTTTCTCCATATAAAAAAGTTTCTTGAGGTTG